TAGCCCTGTCAATCCTGGAGTCCTCTTACCCCAAGAGTGAACTTCCTCCAGGTCTCAAAGTGTCCAGAATCCGCTGTTCTTCTTCAAGCCTGCCATTGAGCCACCAAAGGTTGTGTGATGGGTGTGGGTTTGTGCAGGTCCATGGAAGAAGACACAGCTCACTTTAAGGATGATTTTAGCCTCTCCAGCTGCAGGGGGATTCAGCCTCTAGAGAACTGAGACACCCTCCCTTTGCCAAGGACATTTCTTATACCTATAGTAAGTTGACTTCCATTCTCACTTAAGCTCCCAAAGGGACTACAACAAATGCAAATTATCAATTAAGGAATATCTCAGTGTCCCGGGTTTTTCCCAACCAAGTTTTGCATAGGCTTTGTACCCTTGGGAAACTCTCAGACATGCTTCTCCTATGTTAAACAAAACATGCTGAAGACAAAGGGCCCACATTCCATGAGCCAGCTGCAGATGTGAAGGAGTTCTTTCTACAGCATGGGCCAGTTGAAGAAAGAAGACACTACAAGATGAAATTTTAAGGCCTATGTGGTAGCAGAAAGGTTTAGCTTCTCTGATGGACTGAACCCCTAACAGCTGTACAAAGGCACTACGTAACATTGATCCTTATTGATAGTTACACAAAGTTGATTTTTTGGTAAAGTATTTCCTTATACCAAGGACCCTAATCTAATTTACATGTCTTACTAAAGGAAGAGCATCACGTGCTCCCATGACTTTAGTCCTCTATTGTCTATCATTTGCAATACACAATAATCCAAGAGCTTCAGGTGTGCCAGAGACAGCTTGTGACATACTTCTGGCAACAAGGCCACACCTACTTCAACAAGGCCACACTTCCTAATAGGACCACTCCCTATGATCTTATGGGAGACAATTACATTCAAATTACCACAGATGGACATTAGACATTCACTGGTTGCTGGCATCTCTCAACAGGGTTTTCACAACATGTAGGGCTGTTATAGTTAGAGACTGTCCCAACATGAGCTTGTCAGCTTCTCTTACAAGAATGTGATAGCTTCAATAGCTCTGAAACACAGGGGCCATCCAGAAGCTACAGGATCCAGTCTCTTTGAGATGTAAAGTATCAACCTTTTCCAGGGACTCAGAGTCTGAGACAAATCTCGGCAATGCCCTTTCTTTTATGGAAGTAAAGAAAAGGGCTTAAAGATATCAGGGACAGTGAAAGTGGGAGCCTGTACCAGGGCCTCTTTTAAGTTCTTGAAGGCCTGTTCATGTTCCTCAGTCCATTCCAAAAGAGTGTTGCCCCCAGCTGTGGCAGAGTACAAGGGTTTGGCAATTTCAGCAAACCCAGAGACCCAAAGATGGCAATATCCAACAGCTCCCAGAAATTTCATAATGTGTTTCTTGATGGTTGGAGTTGGGATTTGCATTATGGCTGGTATGTGGACTTGGAACAACAGTCTTTTCTCTTCTCTCAGCTCATATCCCAAGTAGATAACCTGGAGCTAGAAAATTTGGGCTTTCGCTTTAGAAACTCTATAGCCTAACTGGGCTAGAGTTTCTAAAAGGACTCCGGTGGCTCTCAAACAGTCCTCCTCATCTTTAGCAGCCAATAATAAATTATCTACATAGTCACATGTGAAGATAGTCTGACTTAAATTTGACAGAGAGATGGAGAAGAATGGATCTTTTAAGTTCTAAACAGTGTAAACTCTATGCTCTGATGGTAATAAACTGAGCAAAAGTGTAGAGATTTGGAACAGTTGTTGTAAATGGATTCCACCCTCTTGCTAAGGTCCCTGAAGTCCTGTACTGGTCTACAGTCTATAGTCCCAGGCTTTTGAACAGGCAACAAGAAGGTAATTCAGGCTGACTGGCAAGGAATAAGTATGCCTTCTTCAAAAGGGTGTCTGATATTAATCTTAATCCCTTCCCTGGCTTCTAAACTAATGGGTACTGCTTGACTGGAATGAGCGTTACCTCAGATGTTAGGTGTACTATGATGGTGGCACATGTTTTGCCAAGCCAGGAGGATTGTTGTCTGCCCAAACTGTAGGAACTTCCTGGATCAACAACTTTTTCCATTGCCCTTCCAGAGAATGGATTGGATTTTGGAGGAGCAGGTATTCCTCATTTCTTGGGCAGGTGTTGTGGTCCGGTCTGTATTAGCCCCACACTGCAGGGGCCACCTATTCCAGACTGATGTCTTTAGGGCTGCAATAGGAACCAGTCAAACAACCCTGGGTCCGACCCTGATTGAAGGAGTGTGGACACGGAAAGGCCTAGCTACCCAAGGTGTTAATGATGAGACAGAGACATCTAGTCATAACAGAAGGGCTCCCAGTTAGTACTGAAGGTCACAGTTTATTGTTCCATCATCTTAAGTAACCATCTAAAAGTGAGGGCAATGGCAAAAGACATCCATTATCATGTATAAAAGGCTCATAGCAAATATTTCTTTTAATCCTAGAGACACTCCTAAGTAGTATATACTCAAGCCCTCAGGCACCCCACACCAGAACGTCTCACTAGCAGAACTTGTGGCTGTGTGAAACATACTTTCAAAATATTACACGGGCGCTGACAGGCAAGTAATGGTTAAAGCCTTGCAACCTAGAAAAGTCCTATGAGAATGATATTGTTGCCTGGAGTTTGTTCAGGATGTCCTGTCTCAGTAGAGGATAGGGACATTCAAAAATAACAGTAAAAGAATGAGTCACAGTTCCTTGTCGTAGGTTAACCTTCCAGTCAATGATCCATTTGTATCTTTTTGTTAACCCCTGTTAACCCTGTACTTCATTGTTTGGTTGTAAGGGATCATAGGATCTCCTGTAATACTGAATGTGTAGTCCCTGTGTCCATCAGAAAATTTACAGGCTGGTCCCTGTCCTAGTTATGGTTTCTATTGCTGTGAAGAGACACCATGACCACAGCATCTCTTATAAAGGAAAACATTTAATTGAGGTGGCAGCTGACAGTTTCAGAAATTTAGTTCATTATCATCATGGTGGGGAGCTTGGCAACATGCAGGCAGACATGGTGCTGGAAAAGGAGCTGGTACATGTTGGTATGCAGGCAACAGGAGTGGTCTCTCTCTCTTTGGGCATGACTTAAGCATATATGAGACCTCAACGCTTGCCTCCATAGTGGAGCAATAAGGAAATGCAGAAAAATCTCAAAAAGCATCATGTAGTCACCATGTGACTAGGGAGGGTAAAGGTATTCTCAAAAACAAGTCAAAGTCATGGGTTTGGAGCACGTTAGCCTCCAGGAAACAGACTTAACAACAACCACCCACCACTTACAGTAAATGGGAACTTATTTGTAACAATACAGTGTAATGGGTCCTGTCTTCAAAGTGGAGTTAGGCAGGTTCCTCGTTATCTGTCCCTGGGCTACAGGCTACAGGGATTATTGTTTTGTAGATCTCCTCTGATGTAATTTTCCTCTCTTTAAAAACGATAGGAGGTTGTAACTCAATATTGTTTTCTGTGTCTAGTTTGCTGCTGATACTGTATCTGCACCTAACACTCTGTGTAAGCCGTTGCTAGTCTCTGCACCATTTATGCAGTGCTGCTTTGCCAAATAAAATTAAAAGCAAAAGAAAAAAATTTAAAACATAACTTTAGCCTTCACATTTGAACCCCTAATGGGATTGGTTTTTACTTTTTCTTTTTTTTTAATTTGTTCGTTTTTTGTTTTTCAAGACAGGGTTTCTCTGTAGCTTTGGAGCCTGTCCTAGAACTTGCTCTGTAGACTAGGCTGGCCTTGAACTCACAGAGATTCACCTGCCTCTGCCTTCTGAGTGCTGGGATTAAAGGCAAACGCCACCACAGCCCGGTCCCGATAGGACTGTATTTTGACCAAAACCACCCATGTTTGGGGTTTATCAAGACAGATTTGATGGAGCTGGAGAAATGTCCCTGAGCTCTGTCCCTAGCTCTCTGGTCAGTCATCAGGTTGAAAAGCAGCTGTTTGTCTGGGATGGCTGAGGACTAACCATTGTCTCCACACAAGGGATGTTCCTGGGAGGCTAGATTCTGGAAGTTACTGGTAATGCTGCTGGCCGAGTTCAATTCCAGTAACTTCTTGTGACTCTGGACCACATGACTTCCTGGCAGCCACTGCATCTAGCACTTGTGATTGTAGTCTCATGGGGTCTGCCTAGTTATCCTACTGAGTTTCTGATATACCAATTTCTTCTCTGCCCCCCTCACTCTCAAGTCAGGGTCTGTGTAGACCTTGCTGGCCTTGACTTCATGAATGTTGTCCTGCCTCTGAGTGCTGGGATTAAAGGTGTGTCCACCAGACTCAGCTCCTTTTCCATATCCTCTTCTCTTCTCTCTCTCTCTCTCTCTCTCTCTCTCTCTCTCTCTCTCTCTCTCTCTCTATCTATCTATCTCTCCCTCCTCTCTCTCTCCTCTCTCTCTCTAAGTGCTCTCTATTGAGCTGCACACTCACACACCTCTCTCTCTCTGTCTCTCTTTCTCTGTCTCTCTCTCTCCACACACACACACACACACACACACACTGGATCTTACATTCTTACCCTCTTTCCACCATCTCTTCCACTCTTCCATCTCTCAGCCGTGGGAGGTGGGGTTATGGAATAGACACCTTATCTAAACAGACTGTTCTGAAGCCTCTTATCAGCTGCAGGTTTCTGTATTAATCACCACCTATGTCTTAGTTAGAGTTTCTACTGTTGTGGTGAAAACGCCATGACAAAAAAGCAAGTTGTAAAGAAAAAGATTTATTTGTCTTACATTTAGCAGTGCTGTTCATACTGAAGGAAGTCAGGACAGGAACTCAAACAGGGCAGGAACCTGGAAGCAAGAGCTGATGCAGAGGCTGTGAAGGGAGCTGCTTACTGGCTTGCTTCCCATAGCTTGTTCAGCCCACCTTTTTTTTTCCCTTGGAGACAGGGTTTCTCTCTGTAGCTCTGGCTGTCTTGGAACTTACTCTTTAGACCAAGCTGGCCTCAAACTCACTGAGATCCACTTGCCTCTACTTCCCAAGTGTTGGGATTAAAAGTGTGAGCCCACCAATTTTTAAATTTTTTAAAATCATTCTGACCATGCCTGAATGCCCAGCTCCAAAGCACAAATCCCATACTTAATGTCTGCACTTGAGCCAACCCCACCCCTATCCACCTTCAGAACTTTCCATCTTCCTAAACTGAAGTTGTATCCCTGTGAGCCACGCACTTACTCTCAGTCCCTTCCCAGTCTTGGCACTCCATCCGGCTTTCTGCCTCGTAGACCTGAGACTCAGGTAGTGTTTGCCCTTGTGAGACCAACCAGCTCCTTGCAGCTAGGCCTCTGAGGAGCATCCAACAACATGTAGGAGGCTCTCCTTTCTCTTTAAGGCTGACCTCAGTCCAGTGTCTGGGTAGATTCACTGTCAGTCAATACACGCATCCCCTAGGCTGGCTCTGCTTTCAAACACCTTGGCTCTGCAGTGCCTTTTGTTGGCTACTGATACTGTGGAGTGGTGAACAGGGGTTTTGAGGAACTTTTCTGTAATTTCAAAAACAATGCCAGCTCAAGTGAGCAAGGAAGTTGAGGAGCCTGGGTGTGGGCCTTACCGGAAAAACTTAGTCAGGGGCTGGTTTTAGATGTGTCCCAGCTGGCTAAGGCTGCATTTGGACGGCTACTGGCTATTCAGCCCCTGCTTCTGTCTCAGATGGCACGGCAGGAACGTCTGCTGCGGCAGCTGCTGATTCTATGGGTGAGTGGAGGCACAGAAGGTGGGTAGGGACCCCAACTGGATTCTGGCAGGCTGTCATGCCCAGAGCAGTATATGTGATTGTACCCAGAGATAGTAACGGGTTTCCTTTTCCAGCTCCTGGCCTGCATGCTGGAGGCAGAGGATGAAATGAGAGCATCAGACACCTTATGAGGCAGTTAGTTTATATCATATCTTTTCTTGCTACAAAGAGTGGGATTTTTTCTGCTATCTAACCTTTCTTTTTTTTCTTTTTCTTTCTTTCTTTCTTTTTTTTTTTTAGATGTCTCACTATGTATCTTTGGCTATCCTGGAACTCACTATGTAGACTGGCCTGGCCTCGAGTTCACGGAGATCCATACACCTCTGCCTACCGAGTGCTGAGATTAAAAGCATGAGCCAACATACCTTGCTGGAGTCCAGCTCCAGGGGGGGTTCTTTTTTTTTTTTTTTTGGTTTTTACGAGACAGGGTTTCTCTGTATTGTTTCGGAGGCTATCGGTCCAGCCCGGCCTGGGACTCACACAGAGATCCGCCTGCCTCTGCCTCCCGAGTGCTGGGATTAAAGGCGTGCGCCACCACCGCCCGGCTCCAGGGGGGTTCTTGTGCTGCAGGAAGGATGTGAAGTCGGGGAAAAATGAGGAGTCTGACCACCAGTTGTCATTCAAACTGATGGCCCCGAGTAGCTCAGTCCGTCTTTATTTATACAGGTTTTAATGCGTTCAAGCATGAGCAGTTTCAAATCATTTCTTTTTAATCATTTACCAAGAATCCTTAACATTTCAGTTTCTCTTCTTTCCCACTCCCTTGATGTCATTGACCTTTACCCCTTATTATATATCAAGTAAAATGTTTTGTGTCTATCTAGGCACATCTTATTAATACTGTGCCCTAGCCGGCAGCAAACATGCAGTTACAGAGATTTGAGCCCAGTGATTCATTCTTAACAATATGACACCAGCTGAATATATTGTAATGCCTAGAGTATCATTTTCAGGTGTATACCAGTTTGTGAGTAATTTGTATGTCAACTTTATTATATGGGTTGCAGTTATAATCCTGTTCTTTATAAGTTCTCAAAATAATGATTAATACCTAACTCTTTATCTTTGAAGACTAAGTTTCATTGTTCTTCCTGAGAATTTCTAAATGTACTTCTTTAAGGGGAACTAGACATTTTAGATTTCTTTATTGATACTTTGATATTAGAAGAATATCTGAGTGTTCATGTCCTGGTGCCAGGAAAATGTCTGACCTTTCGTGTCCTACCTCTTTTTCCTTCTGTGTTCCTATAAGGTTTTTAATGTCATCTTTTAAGAAAGTTTTCTTGGTTCTTATGTTCTTTGGAATATATTTATCTCTTTTGGTATTGAATAAGCAATAATCATTAACTTTAGTGAGTTCCTCCTGCTTATTCAGGATGACTGCAAAGGCAGTCAGGGACAACTGGAGAAACTGGTTTTTATAACAGATCAGAGAAATTTGGCTTTTCTGTAAAAACTTTTGTTTCCAGTAAACTCAGGCATAATCATGACTAGCAAGGCAGAACCAAGAGTTTCCATAATAAGAATAGCAAACGTTAGAGAAGCCTGAAGCCCATGAGCTCCCTAAGGTCAGCGCAGGAGTCTGCAGTGTTGTACCCATAGGTCCTTGCCAAATGGATGGGATTCTCCAAAGGGCCTTTGCCATCTAAGGAGCTCAATTTGCAACACACCTACATGCCGTTCCCGAGGGCGACAGCTTGGCTTCTGCCAATACCTGACTTACTTTTCCACTGAGACTCCTTTGTCCCTTCTCACCTTATGAAGTTTTATTTTAATTATGTGTATGCTGTGTGTCTGTGTACATGTGTAGGGTGTCTGTGCAGACTAGAGGGTATTGGATCCCCTAGAGCTACAGTTACTGATTATTGTGATCCATTCTGGGCACTATCCTCTACACAATCAAGTGCTCTTAACTGCTGAGTAATCACCTCAGCTCCTAGTTTTTTGGTTGTTGTTGTTTTTTTAATGTTTTATGGTATTTACTTATTTATTGTATTGTGATGTGGGAGCTCACTTGGGATGGCCAATGGACAACTATCAAGAGTTGGCTTTATTCTTCAACCATGTGGGTTTCAGGAATCAAACTTAGGTTGTCAGGCTTGCAGACAAGCATCTTTCCCACTAAGCATCTCACTGGTCCCTTCCAGCCCCCTCTTTTGATTCAGACACTATGCAGCCTAGGCTAGCCTCTACCTCGTTTCTCCTGCCTCAGCTTCCCAACTGCTGGAATCCTGGACCTGAGCCACCAAGCCTGACTACCCCTTAGCATTTTCCAAGTGTGATTATTCCCCCAGATTGTGCTGTCAGCCTGGTGTGGGGTACACAGGCCTATGACCCCAAAACACAGGAGGGTCAGCAGTTTAAAGTGTTATGATAATGTGCGTGGGGGACTTTGGATGATTCCATGTAGGGTGCAAGGGTGACCAAGGCAGACAGACAAACAGGCCAGACAGACAGACAAGTAAGATGTTTTATTAGGGGTGGGGGGGAGAGGTAAAGAGACCCAGAGAGAGAGAGAGAGAGAGAGAGAGAGAGAGAGAGAGAGAGAGAGAGAGCAGAGAGCAGAGAGCAGAGAGCAGAGAGCAGAGAGCATAGAAGAGAAGAGGGAGACAGAAAAAGTCCTGTCTGGGAACAGTGGGAAAGAGATTTGATCGAAAGTAGGCGGGGGGTGTCTTTTTTTTAAAATGGTCCTTTGTAACCGCATAGCATGGAACCCTGGGCTGACCAGGTTACTGTCTGAGTACATATTGCCAGGTGACAGGGGCAGGCCAGCATAATGCCTGAATCCTTACACAAAGTCACCCTCAGCTTCATGTGAAAGCCCAGACTATAAGACACACTGTATTTAAAAAAAAAAGTATTGTTATTTTGTATCCCTACAGTGTGAAAAGCTGACAGAAACAGGCTGTTTTCACATCAAACAAGAGTGAAAGTAGTCACCCTTGGAAAATGACACTCTCCTTCCCACTGTCTAGGAGATTCTATCTCCTAGAAAGCCATGTTTCCCAAGCTGCTGGCCTTCAGTCAGTAGCTCTCAGCAAGTGTCCTCAGGCTAAGTCTGTTGGTGACTTAAATGGATGGGCATGTGTGGTTCTGGGCTCTTTCTCAGCGTTACAAAGTTCTTGAACCCTGGAAAAAGACCACAGACTCAATCCAATTATAGTGAAAAGATGTCTTGACTCCTGAAAGTTTAAGTGTTTGGGTAGATCGGATGGGACAGGTGTTCTTATAGCTTAGATGGAAAGGTATCCTGGAGCTCAGGAGCCACAGAATACTGAGTGTTACACAGCTCAGATGGAAAGGTATCCTGGAGCTCAGGAGCCAAGGACTACCACAGGTCACAGTAAGCTTAGCAGCTTACAGCCCTGTTTCAAGGAAAGGCTTCCCCAGTGTATCAGCTGTGCTCCGACAGGAGAGGATTTCCCTAGCCAGGTCCAGTAGGAAAGGGTTTTGGTCTCTGCTCCACTGCAAAAAGATCTTTACCCAAAGCTCATTCAAGAGATTTATTGGGAGGGAAGAATTCAGGAGAGTGGCTGCCTCCGCCAGGGTAGAAGGAGGCAGCAGGACAGCCACAAGCCAAACAGACACAGGATTTATATAGGGATTCTTAGGGGGGTGCAATTTTTTCAGGGTGAGGATTGGTCGGATTTCAATCCCTGAGTTTAGGATGGCTAGATCTCCTGCTCAGGGATTGGTTAGTTTTCTGCACAGATTTAGGGTCAGATTTGGCTCTGGTTTCAGGGTCAAAATGTGTTTCTTGCACTGGTTCTTTTTAGTCTTTTGGCTCTAGTTTTAGGGCCAGGGTGTATTTCTTTCACTGATTCTGATTCCAGGGACAAGGTGTGTTTCTTTGGCACTGGTTTCAGGGTAAGGGTGCATTTCTTTGGTTCTGGCTGCAGAGCCAAAGTATGTTTCTTTGGCTCTGCTCAGGGTATGTTTCTTTTCCCTACAGATAGCACTACAGCAATCTCTAAGTCAAACTGTAGATTGCTGTGTGAAATGGGGGTGAAGAAGGGTTTTGTTTGTTTGTTTTTTCAGGCAAAATCCATAAGAAGGCCTTGAGTATCTGCAGAAGCAAGCCAGGAGCTGTTTTGATCTGCCTAGATTAGGTAGTCAAGGCCCTGAAAGTCTCTATAAGAGGGTTACAGAAGTTAAAAAAAAAGTTAGTCAATTAGTCAATGAGAGGGCCAGGTAGGCCTCATTTCACAAACAAAGGGCAAATCAGCCACCAGGCAGTGGTGGCTCACGCCTTTAGTCTCCTGGGCCACTGCCCCCAAGTCAGGAGACAACCAAATAAGGACAAAGTCTGGGACTTGCCCTAGAATGGAAAAGCTATAGTCTTAGACCAATGTTAGCCCTAACCACTAATGCACCAATATGATTACCACTTGTATAAGCCAGTCCTAAGCAGGATAATCACACTGCTTTTAAAATTCCCATAGCTGTGCTTAAAAGGACCTTACACATTCTCTCCAGGTCGTTGCTATTTTGTATAAGTGCTGATTGCATCATGACTGGTGGCCTTTTGGGGACTTCTCTGAAACCCTAACAGTCACAACATAACAAGTAGATGGTCACTGTACATTTCCAGGAGGGTAATCAGTGAGTCAGGTTTGTGGGAACACAGTCCAAGAATGGAGTCATGTGAGGAGAATTCTGAGTGTTTGCGAGAAAACTCCAAGAAAACAAATGTCTCGTGACCTCAGTTTCTTCAAAATCACAAAATTGTTCTTGGAATGTGATTTCATTGCCCTCCCAGGTGTAGCAGATAGGGGTGAGGTTACTTCAGGTTATCCATTACAACTGGATATTGTTATTTGTTTATATGCATCCATGGAAAAACTCGTTTTTGTCACTTGTATCTTCTCTTTGCGATTGGACACTTTACTCAAGTGATTCTTCTTAACCCTCAGAATATAAGTTGTCTGATGCTCTGAATAAAGTTGGCTGTTGCAAGACACTTTAGTCTACCTCATTTATCAGTTGCATTCTCCCAGGTCCCGCCGACTCTAGAGCACAGGGTTACCAAGAACTTATAACTGGAGTCAGACAAAAGACTACTAGGTGTCAAGACTCACTGTCACTTCCTTTCCTGGCAGCTTCCTTTGCAGCAAGAACTGCAGTGAGTTACTGTGGTGAAAGCAGCTTGAACTGTATTGGCTATAAAACCCAACAGGAAGAAGGCACTGTTCTTTTTTTGGGGGGGGCGTGTTTTGAGGCAGGATTTCTCTGTGGGTTTGGAGGCTGTCCTGGAACTAGCTCTTGTAGATCAGGCAGGCACATCTCTGAATATGAGGCCAGCCTGGTCTACAGAGAGAGTTCCAGGACAGCCAAGGTGACATAGAGAAACAGCCTGTCTCAAAAAACAAATAAACAAAAATGAACAAATGCAGTTTGATGCAAATGAACGGTAGAAAGTCAGAGTTAGGCTGAATCCCAGCTGAAGGCAGTAGAGGTGGTGTATAACAGTGTAATGGGAAGAATCAAGCCTGGACCATGTTGGTGAGGAGGAGGGTCTCCTTCACAATGAATGCCTAAGGGGGAAACCCACAGAGGGGTCACATTGCTTCTTATTTTAAAAAAAAAGATTTTTATTATTTTAAATTGTGTATGTGAGTATAGATGCCTGCCGAGGTCAGAAGAGTTGGATCCCCTTGGAGCTGGAGTTAGAGGCAGTTGTGAGTCCCCTGACTTGGATGCTGGGAATTAAACTCCGGGTCCTCTGCAAGAGCAGTATGTGCTCTTAGCCACTGTTTCATTTCTCCTGTTTATTTCTTTTCTTTTAAGGTTCATTCATTTATTCGTGTTTTTTTGTAGTGCTAGGGATGGAACCTAGGGCCTTGAGCACACACCCCAGTGCAGTTCTCATAGTAGAGGTACACCCCAGCTGCCTAAGGTATTGAGTCACCACTTGCAGGAAGGTTGCAGGGATAGATGCTATCTCTCTTCCTTCCTTTCGCCCTCCCTCCTTCCCTCTCACATGTAGATGTGGACACTGGAAGACTGGAGGCTGCCATCTGCTATCTCCCTGGATCTTTGTGCACCTTATTTCTCAAGGCAAGGTCTTCCTTTTAAAAATTAATTAAGCTAGGTGTGGCAGAGCATGCTTTTAATCCCTGTACTTGGGAGGCAGAGACAGGCATATCTCAGAGTTTGAGCCTGGTTTACAAGCAAGTTCCAGGACAGCCAGGGCTGTAACACAGAGAAATCCTGTCTTGGAAAAAAAATTTTTAAGGGTCTGGAGACCTTCGCAGGCACCAGCCACACATGCTACATGCATATTCAGTCAAAACACTCATACATAAAAAAATCTTAAGATTTAAGAAAATATTTTATTTGTATGTGTATGTGTCAGAGAGTTTATGTGTCCCTTATGCATTCTTGGTGTCCACAGAGGTCAGAAGAGGGTATTGGATATCCTGGAACTCTAGCATGGTTGGTTGTGAACCACCATAGGGGTACTGGGAATGGAACACAGGTCCTCTGGAAGAGTAGCCAGGCAGAAAGGGTCTTTCAGTGAACCTGGAACTAATCTATGCTTGACTTCCAATGAGTTTCAGGGATCTGCCTATCTCTATCCTCAGTGCTGGAGTCAGAGATGCTTTACGTGTCCAGGTAAATGCTAGGGATCCGAACTCAGGTCCTCCTGCTTTGATGGCAGGTACTGACTGAGCCAACTCCTAGCCCCAGAGGCTTGTTCTTGCACACCTCTGCCCACACTTTCATAAACTGGTCAGTAGATTATTTTATGTGTTTGTTTAAAGGCGTCTTATGTAATCTATGTTGATTAATCCAAAATCCATGCTCCTCAGTCAGTAATTCACACCTACAGCAGTTTCTCCAACACACATGTGTTATCTGTAAGGTTATTATGACATTCTAGTCCTCTGGACAGAAAACAGTTTCTCATCGCTATGCTTGGAGCCATTTAAACACCAAGATAAGCAATTCGAAATGCCACAAAAGATACAGAAACGCAGGTGATGGGTATCCTGTAAGACAGACACACCCGTGCAGTGAGAAATGAAGCAAGAATAGAAAGCATTTCCTTGCTTGCTCTCAGCTGGGAGTACGTGACTCAAAAATAGACCAGTGTGGTGACACACACTTTTTCTTTTCTTTCTTTCTTTTCTTTTTTCTTTCTTTTTTTGTTTTTCTAAATAGGGTTTCTATGTGTAGCCATCCTAGCTGTCCTGAAACTTACTTTGTAGACCAGACTAACCTTGAACTCACAGAGATCCTTCTGCCTCTGCAGAAGCCTGAGTGCTAGGAGTGGCATACATTTTGTATCTCAGCACTCAAGAGGGAGAAGCAGGTAGATCTCCGAGTTGGAGGCCAGCCTGGATACATAGCAAGTTCCAGGCCATCCAGGTACATAACAAGACCCTGTCTCAGTGTGTGTGTGTGTGTGTGTGTGTGTGTGTGTGTGTGTGTGTGTACATACATGCATACACACATATAAAATATATACAAATATTAAATTGAGTTATTATTTTTCATTTATGTCTGTGAGTGTGTATACATTGTGAAGTGTCCAGAAGAGGTCATCATATCCACTGGAACTGGAGTTTCAGGCCCCTGTGAACCACCTAATGTGGGTGCTGGGAATCACACCTGGGTCCTCTGGGAGAACAACAAGTGCTCTTTACTACTGAGCCATTTCTGCAGCCTCAGGGGGCTCAAATTTTTTTGATACTCTGTGCCTATTAGTGAATAGCTGAAAAGTACCCCTTATTTTAGTATGAGAATAAAGTTTAGGAAGTAGGTGGATTCACAAATATGTAATTTGTGAATAATGAGAATCAAACGTATTGGTGAAATAAACAAACATGAAACTGTGCCCAAAACACAAAAAGCAGGCTTAGTTTGGATCCTTAGCATCCTGCAAATGCTAAGGATGGCTGTGTGTGTCTCTAATTCCAGTGGGGGCTGGAGAGGCAGGTGGATTCTGGGAGCTCACTGGTAGCCACTCTCGCCCAAACTGTATTCTGAGTTTAGTGATTGTCCCTGTCTCGGTAAAACTATGGGGCCAGAGAAGTGGCTCAGTGGGTAAAGGTGCTAGTCATGCAAGCCTGCCGGCTGTAGCTCAGTCCTCAGCACCCATGTAAAGGTGGGGGGAGAGAATGGACTCCACAACATTGTTTTCTCATTTCCAAATGCACAGCATGGCACGTGCATGCCATGGCACCCACTTGCCCTCACACACATGCACATACCATAGTAGTAATACATAAAAGAAGGCCAGGCCTTGGTGGCGCACACCTTTAATTCCCAGCACTCAGGATGCAGAAGCAGGCAGATCTGAGTTTAAGACCAGCTTTAGCTACATATTGAGTTTTAGTTCAGCTAGGTCTATATCTCGAGGAAAAAAATCAGTAAGATTATAAACCGTCGAGATCACATAAGCACGCTTTCTATGTATACACATGCACACACATGTGCAATATGTGTGCACAGACACACATAACTTCACAAGCATATTTTATTAAAAGTTTAGGTGCAGGGCTGGAGAGATGACTCAGAGGTTAGGAACATGGGCTGCTCTTACAGAGGCCCCGGATTGGGTCCCCAGCTCCCAAATGGTGGATCACAGTCCCAAGGGATCCACACCCTCTTTTCTCCAAGGACACCAGGAATGCACATGATGTTCATATATACATACAGTCAAAACACTCATACACATAAGTGGATTAAAAAAAGACACTTTAGAGTGTAGGTGTGGCCACTGAAAAAAATCATATACTAGAGCACAAACAGTTCACTGACATCAAAGTCTCACAGCTGTAACAGCCACACACCAATGGCAAAGATACAAAGCCACTCGAATTTGGAAACTGAAGAACATATCTGCAAAGGGTCACCTGCTCCCTGACTACTGCCAGCCAGACTTGGGGAGCAATGAGTAAAATTGTAGTGTGTGCTCTGCAGGAAGAGTCTATTGGGAACCAGGGTCGGGGTGGGAGTCATGCACCTTTTCTGTGCTGAGAGTCACCAAAAATGGGCGTTTTTGTGTTTCCCCCTTCTGATTTTAGGTGATAGTTTACAGTGTAAGCAGTACAAGCCAGTGTGGGACAGATGAGTTCCAATTCGACACCCTCTGCTGCCAACTTTGTCCTAGTGGTGAGTTCCAGGTTGCTTTCCAGAGCATTCCACAAGCCAGGCCTTCTGATAGGAAAAGTGCTACAGACCTTTAGCTAGGGCTCAACTGGAGACTGCACTGAGAGAGGTGGAATCTGACAGACCAGGGGAAGTGTGTGTCACCTTAGCAAGCAGCTGCTACTTGTCCTCCTATCCACCCCTTCCCCCACCCAAGCACTGCCCCTGACTTTGGAGGACAGAAGCCAGAGACCGATCCAGAGGTGGACGTGGTATGTTCTATAGAAGCAGCAAGGAGATGTGGGGTGGGGTAATGAGTGTCTGCACTTGGATCTCACTCCCATACCCACACAACGATCAGCACACATCTGTATGCATACCTACCTGCAAACACACACACACACACACACACACACATATATACACTATATGCATACAAGTCTGTGGACACCCATTTGGGTCTGTACACACACCTGTACACACTTGCAGATAGCCATGTGTGGGCACATCCCTACAAGCACATTGCAGAAACAGTGAGATGGGGCTGATGTGACTGAACACTGTGGGAGCCACCACATGCACAGAGCTCATATTGTTGGGAGTAGCCCTCTCTCCTGTGCTTCTGCCATAGGCTGTGAAGATGGTCATGGTGTAAATAATGTGTTGGGGACATTGGGCAAGGACCTCATCTTTAAATTTTGGAGTTCTGTGAATCTGTCATAGGCAGCCTGGCATGAGACAGGGAGATGGCTTCATAGGCCTCCTGTCAGCCAGCTCTCTAGGACTGTGGAGTGGAGAGGAAGAACTCGCCTGCTCAGACACCCTGCAGGACATCAGTCTCAGCCAAGGGATAGTACAGGGCCTCCACACATTAAGTTTAGCATGAAAACTGTGGTTGGGTATCCAACTAGAAAGTTCCAAGGAGGCTGGGGGCCCAGGAGTGGGTAGAGTGAAGAGGTCTGGCCACCAAGGGCTTCAGGGAACAGGGCTTTGCTAGGCTCCCAAAAACCTCTTTCTTTTCTCACATAGGCACACACCTCTTTAAACCATGCCAGGAAAACCATGGTATGAGTAAATGTATCCCATGTGAATCTGGATTTTTTATGAACCACAATAACAGTGAGTCTAGCTGCTTTCGCTGCTCTCTGTGCCGGGATGGTAAGTGTGCCATGGAGGGTGGGGGTAGCATCTCCACTGGTAGCTAAAACAGGTAGACGGATAGGAAGACGGGCCACAGATAGATAATGAAGATGGCAAACTCTAACTTCTTCACACTTTTTACCTGACACAAAGACCTAGTGCCCCCTCCAGCCCCCCATTCCTCTCTAGCCCAGATTGTAGGGCTCTGTAGAAGAAAAGGGAGACTGGTTGTTGTGTTTGCATTGTCGCTGTGATAGATGGCAGGGTGAAGGCTAATTATGTGCCCAGGATGAAGAGCCTGTGGAGATTACTGTTGACGGAGTTTCTGTCCTGCCCTGGCAATCCCAAATAAACACACAGGGGCTTATATTATTTATAAACTGTCCAATGGCTAAGGCTTCTTATTGGCTAGCTCTCTCTAAATTATTAATCCATTTCTATTAAACTATGTATTGCCACAAGGCTGCGGCTTACCCGTAATGCTCTGGTGTGTTACTCCTTCGGCAGCTACATGGAGTCTCTCTTGAAACTCACTGCTTTTCTCCTCCCCGCATTCTCCTGCTTGGTTACATCGTGCCTGTCCATTGGCCGAAACAGCTTTATTCATCAACTAGTAAAAGAACACATATTCACAGCATACAGAAGAAATCCCCATCAGATTACTTTACTGTGTAATAAAATGTCGTACACTGAGACAGACTGACACCCTGATAACTAACCTGCAACTTTCCTGCTTCCACAGACCAAGAGGAAGTGGCCAAATGCTTCCAGAATGCTGATCGTGAGTGCCAGTGTAAGCAGGGCACCTATTGTAACTCTGAAAACTGTGTGGAGAGGTGCCTTCCATGCAGCAGGTAACAGCTGGGGGAGAGACAGTGAGTGTAGCTCCCCATTCCTGCCCTCTAGTCCCCTAGCCTCTGAGTCCCTGTCTATAGAGGGACTCATTAGGCTAGCACCTGCCACACAGATAAAATCAAGGATGCTTCCTCCTGGAAACTGCCTGGAGTTAGTGCTCATTCATTCACTCACTCATTAACTCACTCAACAAACAACCTTGAAGCCCCAAAAATGAGAGACACAATGGAGATTCATGCATAGCATAAGACCATTAATGATGGTCTGGGATGAAGCTAAGTTGGTAGAGTGTTTGCCTAGCTTGTACAAGGCCCTGGGTTCCACCCCCCAGAACTGCACAAACCAGGTGTGGTGATGCAGCCTGTGATCCTGGCCCTGGGGAAGCAGGAGGAGCTGGAGTTCAAAGTTAACTACATAGTAAGTGTGAGATCAGCTTGGGGTAAAGATACTGCCTGAAAAAACACTACTGTTGTGATCATGGGGACCACTGCACACTCACCTGGAGGGCAGAGCCTTAGTGAATCAGGGTGAGAGGGAACAATAGAAAGTTTAGTGGGAAAGAACTCTAGGCAGAGAAGATGGCAAAAGTGACTTACTGTTAATTAAGAATGGGGCAAGAGGGGGCTGGAGAGATGTCTCAATGGTTAAGAGCACCAGCTGTTCTTCTAGAGGATCTGGGTTTGATTCCCAGCACCCACTTGGCAGCTCACAACTAACTGCCTGTGATCTGGCACTCTTGCATAGACATACATGCAAGCAAAAATGTCAATGCACATAAAAATAAATACATTTAAAAAATAAACCCTTTTAGAATTGGTTTGGCTATTCCAGGTTAAAAAAAAAAAACAGCATGGGGAAAGAGCTAGAGAGATGACTCAGGGCTAAGATATGATCTGCATGTCCCAGGAACTGAGTTCAGTTCCCTGCACCCACATCAGGGGACTCAAAACTGCCTAAACTCCAGCTCTTCGGAATCTGACGCCCTCTTCTGGCCTCTGTGAGCACCTGCACTCACCCACACATGCATACATCTAAACATAAAACGAAACTTTAAAAAAGGAATTCTGTGGGACCAGGGTTGTAACTAGGTTGGTAGAGTGCTTTTGTAGTACACAAAGCCTTGGACTCAGTCTCTAGTACACTATACAGGTATAGTGGTATGCCTGGAATCCCAGTACTCATGGAGGCAGGATGATCAGAAGAAGTGTAAGATCAACTTTGGTTACATAATGAGTTTGAGGTCACCCTGGACTTCGTGAGATTCTGACCAAAAAAAAAAAAAGGTAAAAATAATCTGGTGACCACAAAACAATGACCATAAACTGAGAATGAAAGCAGAAAGTTACTCTCGTATGTACGGTTCTGGAGTCAAGAAGTCCAACGTCAAAGGTGTTCACAGGTCCTCACTCCCTCTGCAGGCTCTAGGTCAGTGGTTCTTCACCATCCTCAAGCTATAATACAGTTCCTCATGTTGTGGTGACTCCCAACCATAAAATTAGTTTTGTTGCTACTTCATAACTGTGATTTTGCTACTGTTATGAATCAAAATGTCAATATCTGGTGTGCAGAATATCTGATATGTGACCCGTGTGAAAGGGGTTGCGACCCACGGGTTGAGAACCACTCTTCTGGGAGCCTCCTCCCTGGCCTTTTCTAGGTTCTCGTGGTGGCAACGATTCCTGACATTCCTTGGTGTGTGGACACGTCACTCTAGTTGCCACTTCCCTTTCCAAAAAGACTGCTCCCGTGCTTCTGTCTGTACTTCCTTCTTGTAAGGACTCTAATCACTTGGCTAAGGCTCATCCTAACCCAGTGTGACTCAAACTTCTCTTAGCATCATTTGCAAAGACCCTGCTTCCAAGCAAGGTCAAGTTCCAAGGCTTCAGGTGCACATACGTTTGGGAGGACATTTCTGGGAGGTATCTCTAGCAATAAGGCCACTTGTACAATCTTTATTTATTTATTTACTTAGTATGTGCATTTATAATTAGAGTTTGCCTGCATGTCTGATGCCCATGGAGGGCCAAAGAAGTTATTGGGTCCCCTGGAGCTATAATACAGTTACAGGTGGTTGTGAGCCACCGTGTAGATACTAGAACTAGAACTTACTTTCTCTAGAAGAGCAGCAAATCCTCTTAACCACTGAGCCATCTCTACACACACACACACACACACACACACACACACACACACACACACACACACCGTTTTGAAACTGGATCTTACTGTCTATCACTGGCTGGCCTAGAACTCACAATGCAGACAAGACTGGTTTGAATTCATAAGAATCTGCCTCAATCTGTTTCCTGAGCTGGGGTTAAAGGTGTTCACCACTATACCAGGTAATAGCTTGCATCTGTGAGGCAGGTTATATATCAATGAACATAACTCAGAAAACACTGACTTTGTGACTATGTGAGCTCTGGCTTGGCGGAGGCTCTTGATTGTCTGTACATGTTTGCCTCTTCCCTACTCCCATTGTCTTTGTCTCTAGGCAGACTTCCCTCTATGTGGTAGGACAGACATTTTATCCAGGAGGGTAGAGAGAGGGTCCTTCCCTAAATATAACAGACACCCCTAAAGTCTAATTTCTTCAGAGTGTAGCAGGATGGGGCTGGGGTGGGGCTGGTCCCTCCTAACTCCATGGATAGTGAAGAAAGTGTTCTGAGCTGCCTGGGTATGAGGGAGTAACACACTCTTGCTTTTCCTTCCAGCTGTCCTAACAATAAAGTCATCAGGCAATGCAATGCCACGATGGACACACTGTGTGACCTGTCTGATTCAGAGTCTGGTAACCCTTCTGATCCAGAGTCAAGTAAGGACCTGTCCCCTAAATCAACATTACAACTGTTCACTGACTGGGTGGTGGTGGTGCATGCCTTTAATCCCAGCACTCGAGGCCAGCCTGATCTACAGAGCAAGTTCTAGGACATCCAAGGCTACATAGAGAAACCCTGTCTTGAAACACTCCCTCCCAAATGTTCACTAGTATACTGGCTACTTTTTATGTCAGTTTAACACAAGCTAAAGCAATTTGGGAAAGGAGAGTCTCGATTGAGAAAATGATCGCCACCAGATTAACCTGTAGGCAAGTCAATAGGGCATTTTCTTAATTAGTGATTGATGTGGGAGGGCTCATTGTGAATGATGCCACTCCAGTGGTCCTGGAGTTTATAAGAAAGCAAGCATAACAAACCATGTGGGAGAAAGCAATGAGCAGAGCTCCTCTATGGCCCCTGTATTAGTTCCTGCCTCCAGGCTCCTGTCTTGAGTTCCTGCCCTGACTTCCCTGAACGATGGTCTCAAGCTGTAAACTGAAATAAACCCTTTATTCCCCAAGCTGCTTTTGGTCATGGTGTTTTATCACAGCAATAGAAACCCAAACTAAAACAGCTGAAAGGGTAACATTGGCATTTATAGTCACTTTAAAACTCTGCTGCAATAGGAAAAATAGCCAGAGATTATGAACAAATGACTGTGTTTGGCCATGTGCCAATAAACCTTTGCAAAAGCAAGCTGTGGGCTAGATTTTGCTTGGGGACTGCAGGTCAAGAATCTTGTCTTTGGGCTGGAAAGATGACTTAGCCATTACAGGTTAGGCTCACAACCCAAAATGTAAGAATCTTGTTTTAGTCAGCTAACATAATCCCAGAGTCTAGCTGCAGCTTCTGCTTCTGGTACCTCAGTCTCAAACCAAAGTCCTTGTGAGCCCAAGCTTTCTGTTTGTGTATCTGTCACCAATTCTGTTTTTACCTTAGGTCCTGATGCCTGAGTACTCAAACCCTCTTTGTCCTCCATCTATAGTGTAGGCTGAATACCTCTGAGAGCGGTGATGTGTTGATTTACCTTTCAAATTAGCTTGTGCACTTCCACAGGTTTTGTGTAGATATGCATGTGTGTAGTGTGTTTGTGTATATATGAACACATGTGCACATGTGTGCACCTGTGTGTGGAGGCAAGAAACCAGCATTAGGTCTATTCCTCCATTTCTCTTTCTTTTGTAGAATTTATATTTCATTTATATATGTACACACATGATAATGTAATGTGCATGTATATGGAGTATGCTGTGTGAGCAGGTGCCACTGAAGCTGAAAGAGGATGATGGTTCCTCTAGAGCTGAAATTAGCAGTGGTTGTGAGCCACCTGACCAAACTTGGGCCCTCAGGTTCTCTGGAAGGGTAGCTTGTGCTGTCAGCCACTGAGCTACCTCCCTGTCCCTCTACCTTATCTTTTGAGACAGGGTCTCTCCCTGAACTTGGAGCTCACCAATTTAGCCAGATTGGTTTAGGCAACAAGCTCCAGGGATCTTCCTGTGGCTCTGATACCCCAGTGCTGAGGTACAGATGTGCACTGTGTAGGTGCCAGGGATACAAATCCAGATGCTCACATGTGTGGTCAGCACTTTACCAACCAAACCATTCCCCCAAATCCTCAAGAAAGTTTTCATAGCCTGGTACTGGTGGCACACGCCTTTAATCCCAGCACTCAGGAGGCAGAGGCAGGCAGATCTCTGTGAGTTTGAGGCCAGCCAGGTCTATAGGTGGAGTTCCAGGACACCTAGGGCTGTTACACAGAGAAACCCTGTCTTGAAAAACAAAGAGAGAGACAGACAGAGAGAGAGAGAGAGAGAGAGAGAGAGAGAGAGAGAGAGAGAGAGAGAGAGAGAGAGAGAGAGAGAGAGAGATCATAATTTTTCATTAAAAAGTATGAGCAGAAGGGGGCTAAAGAGTTGATTCTGGGATTTAGAGCACTTGCTCTTGCAGGGACCTGGATTCAATCCCAGAACCTACGTGGTGGCTCACAACCATTATTTCAGTTTCAAAGCTTTAGACACTCTCTTTGTGCACTAGGCACACACATGGTGCACATATACATGTACAGGTAAAACACTTGGACACATTAAAAAAATCTTACAAGCAGGGGCTGGCAACATGTCCCAGAGGATAAAAGTACTTGCCATTTGGGCCTGGCAACCAAGTTGTCCTCTGATCTCCACATGCATAGCAGTAAACTGTCTGTTTTTAAAATGGGGCTAGGAAGCTCAGTGGATAAGAGCACTGGCTGCACAAGCATGAGGATCTGAGTTCAAATCCCAGAACCCATGGGTGTGGCTGTGATTCCATCTCTGGGGCTCACTGGCTGTTAGCTTAGCTGCAGGTTCAGGGAGAGGGAAACCCTGTCTCAAGGGAATAAAGCAGAAAGTGACAGAGCAGGACACCTAATGTCCTCCTCTGCGTGCACGCGCGCGCGTGTGTGTGTGCGTGTGTGTGCGTGTGTGTGTGTGTCTAAGAGACACAGAGAGAGACAGAGATAATGCACATGTGCACACACAAGCAGATAAATATAAATATTAATAAAATGAAATTTAATAAATAATAAAGTAAAATATCCAAGTGTGACAGCACTGGTCCGTAGCTCCATCATATAGGCTACTGAGGCAGGAGGATCCCTGTGAATTGAAGGCCAGTCTGGGTTATTTACTTAGTACTAGACCTGTCAGGGCGACACAGCAAGATCCTGTATCAAAAAATAAATAAGTAGGATCTGAAGAGACAGCTCATTGGTTACGAGTACTTGCTATTGCAGAGGACCTACGTTTATTTCCAGCCCCCACATGGCCGCTTAGCTGCAACTCCTGTTCTATGGGATCTGGTGCCCTCTTCTGGCCATAAGCACTGCACGCACACAATCACTGCATGTAGACAAAACACCTATACATATAAAAATAAACATTAAAAATAAGGTAAACAAGCCGGGCAGTGGTGATGCACACCTTTAATCCCAGCACCTGGGAAGCAGAGGCAGATGGATCTCTGTGAGTTTGAGACCAGCCTGGTCTACAAGAGCTAGTTCTAGGACAGCCTCCAAAGTCACAGAGAAACCTTGTCTTGAAAAACAAAGCAAAATAAGGTAAATAATGAGCAACAATTTCAGAAGGATGCTTAATACCAAAGCCAATGAATAAATATATAATAAACATAAAGATCTTATCTGAGACTAAGAAACCTTAGGTTGAGTAATGTGTGGGAGAGAGCCCTTTCCCTCCCCCTGCATCCTGGGCAGGACCCCATAGCCTCTGAGCCTGGACAGGAAGCAGGAGCTTCTGAGGTTTGTCACGCTAATAGACAACTGTGTTCAGCTCTGCCTCAGTGATCTTCTCTCTCTTTCCAGGAATGCCATGCTTCCACTGTGTCTGCCTGTCTGAGTCTCTGAAGGCTGTAGTAACCACAGCTGCTATCATCATCATCATTGCCGCTTTCATCGCCGCTTCCATCGCCCTCGGTTTCTGTGTATATAAACTAAGTGAGCTGCCACGGGGTCCTGCTAATGTCCTTGGAATGAGAAAAGGGTTTGCCTCACCAAAACAGTAGCTGGTGACTCTGCTCTCCACAGACTGCTTAGACCATTCAGGAGTCCTGGCCTCACTGCTTATAAAATCACCACACCAGTTTCCCAGGCTCTGTGGTACCTGAAAGGCCTTCCTAAAATTCGTGATGATGTCTCCTGGCCCTCCCATTGTCGAGTACTTAGCTCTTACTAGAGTGGCAATGTAGTCCTAGAGAGCCGGGGAGGGATGGGCATCCTGCGTTCTGGGCTTTAGATCATGCATTTGTGTCCTCTTCATGAGAGCCAAATTGTGCTGGGAAGAGATCAAAGTTCTAGTAGTTTCAACACTGTAGAAACTGAGGTACAGAAAAATCAAAGGGATGTCTTATCTTTATAAAAAGAGTGCCTGAGATGAGATATTCTGGAAAAACTGGGGGTGGAGGAGGGTAGAGGGGAAGGGAGGGGGGGATGGGAAAATGAGGGATCAGGATGGTCAAGTTGAGGCAGGAACAGAGAAGGAGAGTAACATAAGAGATATTTTAATAGAGGGAGTTATCCTTGGGGTTAGGGAGAAACTTGGTACCAGGGAATCTCCCAGGAATCCATAAGGATGACCCCAGCTAAGACCCCTAGCAATAGTGGAGAGGGTGCCTGAACTGGCCTTCTCCTGTAATCAGATTGGTGACTACCCTAATTGTACTTAAAGGAAGCAGATGCAGAGATCCACAGCCAAGCACTGGGCCAAGCGCTGGGAGTCCAGTCGAAGAGAGCAAGAGGTATTATATGAACAAGCTGTGATGGGGGCATGGGGGTGTGGGGTGTGGGGGGGGGTCAAGATCATAATGGGAACCCACAGAGACAGCTGATCTGAGCTTGTGAGAGCTCATAGACTCTAGACCGACAGCTAGGGAGCCTGCATGGGTCTGACATGTGGGTGACAGTTGTGTAGCTTGGTCTGTTTGTTGGGCCCCTAGCAATGGGACCAGGAGCTGTCTCTGGAGCATGAGCTGGCTTCTTGGAACCTATTCTCCATGGTGGGATGCCTCAATTAGCCTTGATGCAGTGGGGAGGAGCTTGTCTTGCCTCAACTTGGTATGTCATGCTTTGTTGACTCCCATGGGAGGCCTTAGTCTTTCTAGGAGTGGATGGTAGTGATGGGGTGCAGGGATAGAAAGAAGGTGGGTGAGGTAATGAGAGGAGAGGAGGGAGGGGAAACTGTGGTTGGTGTGTAAAATAATTTTTTAATTTAAAAAAGCATGCCTGAGCTGTTGTAACTGATGACTACAAAGTGGGGATCAACCCATCAGGAATGTACTGTCTTGCTATCCTAGTGGTTAGAAATCCAAGTCCAACTGTGACTAAAGCTAGGTCTCTCAGTGGCTCAGAGTGTTCCTCCTGTCTTTCCAGCTTCTAGAAACTGCCAGTCCTTAGCTTGAGGCTGCTTAAACTAGTCTGTCACCATCTCCAGGAGGCCTCCTTCCTGCCTGACCAGTCCTTGGAGTGTGTCCCCACCTATAAAAACATATCCAGCTAAGATCATAGTAGAGGCAATAGGTCAAGACATGGGCTTATCTTTTGGAAGCCATAGGTCACTCCATTGCAGGCTTGTCCTAAGATCTGGTCAGGTCCTGACTTCACATAGTGTAGATCTCCCTGACTGGCCTCCCAGATGCATGGCATCCCTTCTTCTCAACATGCGTTAGATGGAGTTTGCCAGGCACTGCCTGTATGCTGGAGGCCTCAATAGGGTAAGGAAGGAGAGGGCCGATCTCCACAAACTTCATCCTGAGCCTCTGGCCTCCCTAGAAAAGACTGGAAGGTCCTTCCAAAAGGAAGGCTGAAGCCATGTTGGGCTTGGCTGCTCTCCACCCCAGGTAATAGATGAATAGTAGGTTAGAGATAATTGGCTGTGCCCCAACCCCGGTCTCCTGACCACTGGGGGATTACTTGTAGTCACAAAGAACCTCTCATGTCCTGAGTTGCAGAATCACAGAAATGCTGCAGCTTTCCTCTGGAATGTTCCAAAAATACAAGTAGACTGTTTGTATTTTTTTCCAGCTTTCAACAAGTTAATGAAGTTATGATGGTCTAACAAGCAAACAAATGGCACTTGTGAAGTTCACTGGATTTAAAGACATTGATTTTCATGAGCACGTGCATAGAGGAAGCAGTGAACATGGCAAGCTTGGCAGTGCTTGTGAATATCCCTTTATGTGGTGTGAATATATGTCACTGTGGTTGATTTAATAAAGAGGTTGACTGGCCAGTAGCTGGTCAGGTAGAGGTTAGGCAGGAGTCAAACTAAGAGGACGCTGGGAAGAGGATCAGAGTCTGGGAATTGCGAGCAGACACAGAGAGAAGCAAGATGAGCATGCTGTACTGAGAAAAGGTACCAAGCCACGTGGCAAACATAGATAAGAAATAATGGTGAGGAGGGCCTAGGCCCCGCCCCAGATGATATGATAGACTTTGGAGATTCCCCCATAGAGGGCCTAACCCTCCCTGGGGAGCAGAGTGGGAATTGGGGGGGGGGGTAGGGCGGTTGGTGGGGGCCAGGGGGGAGGAGGGAAGGGAGTGGGAGCTAGGATTGACATGTGAAACAAGGTTGTTTCTAATTTAAAATTTAAAAAAGGAATATGGGTTAATTTATAACATAAGAGTTAGTTGGTAACAAGCCTGAACTACTAGCTGAAATTCATAACTAATAAGTTTCTGTGTAGTTACTTGGGAGCGGTTGGCAGGACAGAAACTTCTGCTGTTTCTAAACTTGGGACTAGCCTCTCAGACTAATAATTATATATGTGTTTGCAAGCTGTGACAATTTAGCTGCTAAAAACATGTGTTTGCTAGGCCTTCAAGCTAGAGTCGGGTGCCTTTTGGTACAGGCCCTGGTGAATTTGGAGCCAGTACCCATTCCACTACATGTCCCATGAACTCCAGATATGTCATGTGCCTTTTCTTGTGCAAAGCTCAGCAGTCCTGTGTGTGGCCAGAGGGCTTCCTTCCTTGAAGCCCACTGTTGCCTTACAGATATGAGGATTTGTGCTTTGAATTGTCAGTTAGAGCCAGTTGGGAGCCAAGGTTAGGAGGACCCAAATGTCCTTTGAGCTATCACGCCCCTGCAGTATACATCAGGGTGTGACCCAGATAAGGTGCTTTGTTGAACATATAATCACACAAAAATACCTCCTGGCAGGCCTGTCTAAGCAACTATGAACTCTGCCACACCAGGAACTGGGAACAGTGTCTATGCTTTTAGGCTATCCAACCCCCATGAATCTGCCTAAAATCTAGCCTTAGACTTGATTCCTCTCAAGCTACAGTGAGCATGTGTGGATGAGAATTCCTCAAAAGAAGCTATGTCTACATAGGTTGATTAATTGGTTAAAATTTTAGCCAGGCCTTTAATCCCATCATTCATGGTGCAGAGACAGGCGTACCCCTGTAAGTTCAAGGACAGCCTGGTCTAGGACAGCCAGGGCTGTTATGCAGAGAATCCCTGTCTCAACCCCCCCCATTAACCTCCAAACAAATGGCATTAACAAGCAGATAAGACTCATGTGGTTATAAAAATGTAGAGATATACAGTAAAGACAGATTCAGATGAAGAAAAACCTCTGAAGGATTTACAGTGTGTTTAAAAATATACATAGGCTTGGGAGAGAAAAGAAGGAGGCAGAGGCAAGCAAATCTCTGTGATTTCAAGGCCAGCCTGGTGTACAGAGAAAATTCCAGGACAGGCAAACGTTCACAGAGAAACCCTGTCTCATAGAAAGAAAAAATAAAATAAATAGAGTAATGATAATAAATAAATAAATGAGCCACATAAAGATGGAAAATACACAAAGAGTCTGGATACTGTATGTTATTGTGTTATCTTTGAATTTTTTGATTTCTGAGGGAGGAACAACTGCTAAAAGACATTTGATTATAAATGCTGCTAAATTAATCTAACTTATGTATTTTGAAAATGCTTTGACTTCAAAATTTAAGTATAAGGACATGTTACTTTGGAAAGGAGATATACTTTTTGTTTCCACAGAAGATGAAAAGTTGTGGCTTCCTTCCAGACTAATATGGTTTGATGAAGCAAGACCCACTGAAGCAGTGGCCCAGCTGATCCAGCATCTAAAACAGCTGAGATGATTCAATCTTACAGACTGGATTTGGTCAGATTTTTGGGTTTTCTCAGGATCCCATGGTATGGACACCACTACCAACCAGCAGGAAGCAGTTTGGAGTGAACGATGCCCAAATTCCCAAATATTGTATATGAATGTTTGTTTTTATTTATATGGGGTCGGTTATAAATGGTTAATGATTATAGCCAAATTCTTTCTTTAAAAAGGGGGGAGATATGAGATAGAAATGAATACTTTGTATTGGAATGGATTTTCACTTATTGATACAAATTTAAGGTCAATTTGTTAAATGTATATTTCTCCTCTTATTTAGATATTGTGTTTATATAGCTCATTTACAATGTAATATATATATATAGTCACCTATAATAGTAAAAACTTATAGTTGTGTTAGTTAGACTTTCTAGATATACAGAGATATATTTCAAGTGGATGATATTTTTCAAACTTTTCAAAAACCTACAGAACATGGCATTTAAAATGGTTTAGGGTTTTTTCATGACAGTGAGACACAACTGCTCCTGGCAACACCAATTACTTCAGAGAGGAAGATGGGAATCAAAGAAACTCGTAATGAAATTTGCTTTTGACATGGCAAGACTAGCCATTTGGGCAAGAAACTGCTCTTATCTGGACTGTTTGACTGTATGCTATATAGAGTGGACATGTAGGACCCACAGGAAAGTGACTGATAAAACAAGATGGGACAGTGCAGTTGGGTTCCTGCTTCATGAAATAGTCTGCCAGACATTCTTCAGGGCACAGAGAAAAATGACTGACAAACTGCCAAAATAGGTGGGAGTTTAAAATTTCCAGCTTCACTGAGAAGTCTGTCAGACACACTGCAGAGGAACTTTGGGTGACTGACCAGGCAGTGAGATGTCTCTGTCAGTTCTAGAGTTTATATATTATCCTTCTGAGGTCTTTGATGGAGTTTAAGACACATAGTTATGGTTATGGTTTTCCTTAGTTATGATAAAAGATAAGTTACACATAAAACTTTAGACTCACGAAGATAGGATAGAAGATAAAGTATTTTCTTTAAGTGTTTCCAAATGTTAATGAGCTAAATATTGTTAACTATAGTTCTTACTAACTGTTTTGTTATATATAATTATACTATGTTAAAGTTAAAACCCTTATTTTTATTTAGACAGAGAAGAGGAGATTATGGGGATGTCCTTCTGTATATATGTTTCTCTTATTGGTTGATGAATAACACAATGATTGGCCAGTAGCCAGGCAGAAAGGTGGGGCTACCAGATTAGGAGACTAAATCAGAGAGAGGCTGAAAAGGGATGCCATGTAGCTGCCAAAGGAGTAACAGGTCTGGGCATTCTTTGGTAAGCCAAAACCACGTGAAAAATACATAGATTAATAGTTATGGGTTAATAATTAAGAGAGAAGTAGTGAGTAAGAAGCCTAAGCCAGTGGCCAAACAGTATATAAATAATATAAGTCTTGGTGTGTTTATTTTGGACTAATCGGCTGCAGGATGAGATGAAACAGAAAACTCCATCTTCATAGACCCACGTCTTGAACATTGTTTCTGAGTCAACCAAACCCATTTTTTTTTTTTGGCTTTTCAAAACAGAGTGTCTCTATGTAGCCCTGGCTGTCCTGGAACACACTCTGTAGATCAGGCTGGCCTCAAACTCAGAGATCCACCTGTCTTTGCCTCCCAAGTGCTGGGATTAAAAGTGTGTGCCGCCGGGCGTTGGTGGCGCACGCCTTTAATCCCAGCACTTGGGAGGCTGAGGCAGGCGGATCTCTGTGAGTTCGAGGCCAGCCTAGTCTACAAAGTGAGTTCCAGGACAGCCTCCAAAGCCGCAGAGAAACCCTGTCTCGAAAAACCAAAAAAAAAAAAAAGTGTGCCACCATGCCCAGCTAACAAAACCCATCTTTACGGAAAAGGCCATATGTACTTGGCCAAGGGTTTCAATGTAAGCATGTCTTAAGCTTTGTTGTACACATGGGATTGAGTTAATTATCATCAAGAAAGTTTTTTTTTTACAGAATTGTACTGTGCTTAAAAATGGCTTAACTGCCAGGGTCAAAATCTACAAGTTTGAACCAACATAGGCTGTAAGAAAGAACCAAACTGATGCCATTTTGAATAACACTTCCATCTTGAAAAGAAGAATGAAATAAAGTTTAAGTTCCCCAAACCTCCCCAGTCCTCTCTGAATAACTGACATCCTGGTTGACAAAGTGAGACATGAATGGTGGGTAAATCAACCCTCCAGATCTGAGTGAACCCACCAATGAGAGCAAGATAAGTGTACCACAGAACAATGTTCCTAGGAAAGTCCCTAATCCATGAATCCTGATTGGTGGAAAAAATGTAACTGTAACTTGGCACAGATGTTTGCAATTTTTGTGCTTAAATACTTTCTGAGATGAGCATTTGGGAACAGTCAGCCTAGTCTGTACTATTGTCCCTGACCAATGAGTGTTTGCTGCTCAGTTCAATAAAGATCTTGCTTTGTGTGGACTGCTTGAGTTGATCAGGAACCTTGGACCCCACAACAAGGCTATTAAGTCCTGTTGAATTGGATTTCATTATTTACTCTGCCAGTCCTGGTGTTTAAGAGCACCGACTGTTCTTTCAAATGACCTGAGTTCAATTCCCAGCAACCACATGATGGCTCACAACCATCTGTAATAAGTTCTCATGCCTTCTTCTGACTTGCAGGCATACATGCAGACAGAGCACTATATAAATAATAAATAAAATAAATAAATCTTAAAAAAAAAGGTGGTGGGGGACTAGAGAGATGACTCAGGTTAAGAGCACTGGCTGCTCTTCCAGAGGTCCTGAGTTCCCAGAAACCACACACTGGCTCACAACCATCTAAAATGAGGTCTGGTGCCCTCTTCTGGCAGCAGGTGTATATGCAGACAAAATCCTGTTTATGTAATAGGAAAAAAAAAAAAGAATCAAACACTTTAAACAGAAGACATCACAAGAGGCAGTTCAAAGCCCAGGTACTAACACTCCGGAGTTCCAGTCAGCTGTAATGCTCTGCTGATTTCTGAATCTCCGGTTACAGCATTTTCTCTCTTTTCGGATAACTCTAGGTTTTGTCAAGTTGACGAAAAGTTAACCAGGACAAGGGGTTTTGCCTTGCACGTATGTCTGTGCA